TCTATTCTATTCTATTCTATTCTATTCTATTCTATTCTATTCTATTCCATTCCATTCCATTCCATTCCATTCCATTCTATTTGATTCGATTCTATAACTCAAGGCGGAGAACATATCCAACCTTCCTCCTCTTATTTTCCTTAATAACCCTGTGAGGTTGGGTTGGGCTGAGAGAGAGTGGCCCAAGGTCACCAAATTGGCTTTCCCAGCTAAGGCAGGATTGGAACTCACAGTCTCCAGCTTTTTTAGCCTGGTGCCTTAACCACTAGCTAGATTCTGTCTTGATGGTATAAGCCAATGGCATAGAACTGAATTTGACTGGATTATTCTATGTCATTCTTTGGACTAAGAATGACCCAATCATTCTTTCCACTGTTACAGGTTACAAAAAAACAACTACTATTTTGCCACACTTTTCTGGAAAAAGAAATGGCCAGTATACTTAATACCAATCAAAGGTGAATTTATCCTTGGGGATTAAAAAGATGCTCTAGGTCTCTTTTCACTGATTTAATGTTGCTTCAGCTAGAATTCAGAAATATATGAAATGTTCAGATCAATCAAAACACTGAAAGGTTTAAAAACTCCAGTCCCAAACACCGAAAGCTACAAAACATCACAATACTCTACATTAAAATGGCAAACTTGCATACTGAGGATCAAGGGGTAAATGACTTAGCAGACATCTTTCACCTACAATATATTCTGCATTCAGGACAAATGGGGCTGAATTCCCCCAATTTATTGGAAATTAAAAGAACTCTGCATGAAAGAACGTCTGCAATTCTTACAAAGTGATGCAAGTGAAACCGATGCTAATGTGGATTTGAATCAAGTTGGAAACTGGCTTTTAGGAGATTAGTTTGGTCATCCATTTATCTACCCTTGGCCTTCAGATTCTGTAAATTTTGTAAGCCGCCTGAATCACCTACAGGTAAAACTCGAAAAATTAGAATATCGTGCAAAAGTTCATTTATTTCAGTAATGCAACTTAAAAGGTGAAACTAATATATGAGATAGACTCATTACATGCAAAGCAAGATAGTTCAAGCCATGATTTGTCATAATTGAGATGATGATGGCTTACAGCTCATGAAAACCCCAAATCCACAATCTCAGAAAATTAGAATATTGCATGCAATCAATAAAACAAGGATTGTATGTAGAACAATATCAGACCTCTGAAAAGTATAAGCATGCATATGTACTCAGTACTTGGTTTGGGCCCCTTTTGCAAAAATTACTGCCTCAATGCGGCATGGCATGGAAGCTATCGGCCTGTGGCACTGCTGAGGTATTATGGAAGAGCAGGATGCTTCAATAGCAGCTTTCAGCTGTTCTGCAATGTTCGGTCTCATGTCTCTCATCTTTCTCTTGGCAATGCCCCATAGATTCTCCATGGGGTTCAGGTCAGGCGAGTTTATTGGCCAATCAAGCACAGTAATCCCACAGTCATTGAACCAGGTTTTGGTGCTTTTGGCAGTGTGGGCAGGTGCCAAGTCCTGCTGGAAAATGAAGTCAGCATCCCCATAAAGCTCGTCTGTGGAAGGAAGCATGAAGGCTCCAAAATCTGCTGGTAGACAGCTGCATTGACCCTGGACTTAATGAAGCACAGTGGACCAACACCAGCAGATGACATGGCTCCCCAAATCAACACAGACTGTGGAAACTTCACACTGGACTTCAAGCATCTTGCACCTCTCCATTCTTCCTCCAGACTCTGGGTCCTTGGTTCCCAAATGAGATGCACAAGTTGCTCTAATCAGAAAAGAGGACTTTGGACCACTGAGCAACAGACCAGTTCTGTTTTTCTTTAGCCCAGGTAAGACGCTTCTGATGTTGTTTGTTGTTCAGGAGCAGCTTGACAAGAGGAATACATTTGAAGCCCATGTCTATTAATGTGCTTTGATACAGCACTTTGGGAACATCCAACTTCTTTTGCAATTACCTTTTAAGGCTTTCCCTCCTTATGGAGGGCGTCAAAGATGGTTTTCTGCGCAACTGTCAGGTCAGCAGTTTTTCCCATGATTGTGATTCCTGAGAGACCATTTAAAGGCTCAGGAACCCTTTGCAGGTGTTATCGCTTCATTAGCTGATTAAAGTGGGACACTTTGAGCCTAGAATATTGAACCTTTTCACAATATTCTAATTTTCTGAGATTGTGGATTTGGGTTTTTCATGAGCTGTAAGCCATAATCATCTCAATTATGACACTCACGGCTTGAACTTTCTTGCTTTGCATGTAATGAGTCCTATCTCATATATTAGTTTCACCTTTTAAGTTGCATTACTGAAATAAATGAATTTTTGCACGATATTCTAATTTTTTGAGTTTCACCTGTATGTATGAGTCGGATAGCTATATAAATTTGTTTAATAAATAAGAAAATAAATTTGAGGTAGAAGCTTTGTTCATCACCTGTTACCTGATCCTTTAAATGGGTAGTTCCAAATATGAAATCTGAGACTGTTTTTATGCAAATTAAACGCCACAGTTCCCTGTGTCCATCCCTTTCCAGCATGTTTTCTCCAAAAGCCAGTTTGAAAAAAAAGGTGCCCATTCAACTCAAAACAACCAAGAGGAGCAAAAACATTTCAATTCCTGATGAAGCATTTGGAGCATGACATCAAATTAGAACAATAACTACAGACATTTATCAAGAAAATACAATATATCATATATTATATAGTTATTATGATACCTTTGGATATTGTTTGACGGGAATCAATACTCTTTCTGACAGCTTTATATTTTTATTGCTGATGACATCAAGATATTTCTTCTCTTCATCCTCCTTTTTCTCATCAGAACTCTGGAACTTTTCAATTTCTGGAAAGAGGGAACAAAAACAGACTTACGGTTATATGCTGTTATTGTTGAATACAGTCTTTCTCCCTCCCCCCCCCCCCCCCTGACATTATTCTAGAAACACTCTGTAGTAGTACATACACATATATACATAGACATATAAATGCATATATATTTGCACATGAGTCATTTTAGTGGACTCAAGTATGACTGTAAAGAATAACTTATTTTGGATGTATAGTTACCACTAGGCTTGTTTTTCTAAACTGAGAAAAATAAATAAAATGGATCCACACTGGGAGTCTTATTACGACCATTCTAGATTGGCTCTTGTTGCAAAATGTCATTGCCCCAAATCTGTTTATTTCAATAGATGCATTAACAACTTTAGGGAATATAAATGGTTAATACAAGGCCCCAAATCAATCCTCTCTGCGGATGTTTCTATGACTGAGACTCAAGTCTGAGATCAAGATGTTTCCAATTCAAGTTTCTGAGCTTCTGACATAATGGTAAAGTATCTGAAAAGTTCCTCTAAACGAAGGTGATACAGATTAAAATGTCTCCTTAGCCATTGCTTCATTGGAAGTTAATTATTATCTCTCGGAGTGATAGAACCGACAGGATTGTTGTGAAGATAAAATGGCTGAACTCTAGGCAAGATAACTCTTTTTTGACCATTCATGGAGGAAAAGTAGTATGGTGTGTAAGAAATAAGTAGGACAATGTTACCGAAAAGCTACTCACTTTTGCATACCTTTTGCATATCTTTAACCTATATATTTTCTTTAATAACTGGATTTTTAAAGATTATTTTCTTTCAAAACTTGCTTTGAAATATATTTGGTAATATATACACTGAACTGAGATCTGAGGTGCAAAATCTGAAACATGGAATTGCTGAGTTCTGATTTGCAAATGCTTCTGGAAATCTAGATCAAACTGATTGCTGTAAATAGTAGAGTCACATTTTTCAAGCACCCCATATATCAGCAGAGTTATAGTTAATTTCTTTTTCTTTTTCATACTTCTCCTTTACCAAGGAACCTATGGTTGTCTCAATATGTGTGCTATAATTGGCAGCATTTAGCCAATCTCTGTTGATCTAGAAAGATGGTGAAGTATTTAGAGGGGGAAGGAAGCATCTGCGGACTCCAGGGCTGTAGGCAAGACTGGGAAGTCCCAATTCACATGTTGGAAGGAATCAAGGGCAAACAAGAAAATCAGAATATATAAATCAACATGAAATCAGATCAACTTGAAAGCAGCATAACATTGAGCCTCGGTGGCATAGTGGTTAGAGTGCAGTACTACAGGCTACTTCTTCTGATTGTCAGCTGCCTGCAATTTGGCAGTTCAAATCCCACCAGGCTCAAGGTTGACTCAGCCTTCCATCCTTCTAAGGTGGGTAAAATGAGGACCCAGATTGTTGGGGGCAATATGCTGACTCTGTAAATAGCTTAGAGAGGGCTGTAAAGCACTGTGAAGCAGTACATGAGTCTAAGTGCTATTGCTATTAACTCTACATTTGTGTTATTTAGTACGTAACAGACATTTGTTTCCCAAGAACACAAAATAACAGAGTTGGACTAGAGATCCTATACCACTTCAGACAAATGGTTGTCCAATCTCTTCTTAAAAACCTCCAGTGATGCACAACTTCTGAAGGCAAGAGTTCAAGAGGGCCTAAGAGATCATCAGGTCTAACTTCCTAAAAATAGCAAGATTCACTTCTTTATCTGGAAAAGAAGAGGAGACTATCCAGTGTCTGTTGGAAAAAACTCCAGCGAAGGTGGGGGGGGGGGGCATTCGATCCAGTCGTGTATTCCACAGACTGGCAATACAAAGAAATGGTGTCTTCTAAAATGGTAACTCATCTTTTTAGTCAGAAACCAGTCATCAAACCTTCAGTACAGACAGCAGCTAGAGATCATATACTACATCTCTCACTCCTTATTACCATAACCATCTTCGGGCCCTTGACCTTTCCCACCACCTCTTAAAGAGGCTACCCAATAAGCCAAGGGTCTTCAAATTTGGCAAGTTTAAGACTTGTGGACTTCAACTCCCAGAATTCCTCCTCCAGTCATGTTAGCTCAGGAATTCTGGAAGTTGAAGTCTACAAGTCTTAAACCTGCCAAATTTGAAGACCCTTGGCTTATTGGGTAGACTCTTTAAGAGGTGGTGGGGAAGGTCAAGGGCCCGAAGATGGTAATGGTAATAAGAAATGGGAGATTTAGTATATGATCTCTAGCCACTGTCTGTACTAAGGTTTTGCATGCCTTTCCTGTAATTTAATGTTTTCTACATTGGATCAATAAGATGAAATAGAGGGTGCCCTCCTAGGAAAACAAATATGGTTTATTTATGAGGAGACGATGTAAGCGGATGAGGCTTTGATTCTACTTGTGGAGCTCTATTAAGAGTACTGGAAATTGTCAGGGGATTCCCCATCTGAGGAAAGGAAATACTACTTGTTATCAATGGGACCTTCAATTATCATTTGCCTTGTTTCGGGCCTTAGCAGTGACACTGGGAAGTAAGCAACCACTAACTCTGTGTAAAGCTTTGCTCTGAAGCTGTGAATGAACGGTGCCCTCCGAATAATGCGGGAGGGAAACAAGGCAAGCAAAACAGAAGCCTCATTTTGGGAGAAGCCTGAGCAGAGCAGTACAGAGAGGATAGAAGAAGAAGAGGATGGGAAAGGAAACTTCTTCCACAATAATAGCTGAAGTGTTTCCCAGCAGGGTTCTTTTGGCAGGCGCTAGAAGAGGCTACCTGCTGGATGCAGCAAAGGGTGGCAGCCAGAGCAGCAGGCTGAAAAGATTTAGTTGCTTTAGAAAATGTTTACAGAAGACAGTAAATCCGCACCCAAGGAGCCACATCAGAAACTGGGACTAAAAACAATTGCTGTGAAGGTGCATAGGTGTGTACACACACACACACACACATACAAGTAATCTTCGACTTGTAACCATTTGTTTAGTGACCATTTGAAGTTACAGCAGCACTGAATAAAGATGGCTGTTTTTCACACTTATTTGACAGTTGCAGCATCCCCATAGTCACACGATCAAAATTTGGCCCCTTGGAAACTGCTTCATATTTATGACGATCACAGTGTCCTGGGATCAAGTGATCACCATTTTGGGCTCAGTTGTGGTCATAAGTCGAGGACTACATATATATACTCTGTGTGTGTGTGTGTGTATGTGTGTGTGTGTGTGTATACACACACACACACACACA